GATAGTGTCGGTAAGTATAGGCTCGGGGTTGTTAGGCATACTAAGCAACCCCATATTAGGATAGTTAGTTCTACCCAAGCGTTATAACTTGGGCAGGAGTAAGCTAAGGTAGTAAGTAAGGAGTAAGTAAGGAGTCCAAAAGAGTAAGCTCGGCTGCTTGGAGGGGACATACACTCCCACAGCAACGAGAAGGTAGGTATTGTACCATGAGGGTGTGTTCAATACACAATACCTCAAATTGTGTTCGACTGGATTTGGACCATGGGACTAGGTAAGTGCCAGCTTGTGACCGAATAAGTGGCGACACACAAGTTAGGGTAACGGGTAGTTACCTTAATCTACAATAGGTCGGTAAGGTCACGGTTAACATTAGTTACCGGGAAAATTTGATAGTAAAGTCCATATGGTCAAAGTCCAAATTCGATATCTCGAGGTGGGCGATGATGAGTCCATTGTGGGCGTACTTGGTTGCCGCGGACTGAGCTTAAACCTCGAAATATATATAGGGAAATCGAGATTTAGGCTAACTTTAGACCCCTGGATAGTTAGACACCCGTACCCTGAACTATCTCTGAAATTTGTAGAAATCAAAATGTATCGTTAAGGGTAAAGATCCCTCACAAGAAGATACTTTAACTTTAATCCCTTGAGTTTGAATTTTTATTTTCATTTTTCGGCAAGTATAGGTCACCATTCGAGCAGTTGGGAAAATAGCGCCCGACGACCTATACTCCCCATTTGACTGCAAAGATAAACCTTTTTATTTTTGATTTTTTTTCTTTTATTGGTGAGTATAGGTCGCCATTTTCTAGCAGTCGGGAAAATGGCAGGAGGCAACCTTTACTTAGCCATTAGACCGTAAAGGGTTAATCGTTTAAATTGTATAAAAAAGACTTTTGTAGGCCTGCACTGGGACAGGAGAAGCACAAGCACTACAAGGACAGAGCAATTGTAGTCAAACTGTGAGATGAGGTGGCAATGGCAGTACTGTATGTGTTTCAATTAAGAGTGATAATGAAACAGTAGGACCTCATATCTCTGAAGGGGGTATGATAAAAATTTGAGTTATCAAGTTTTTCAAGTAAGTGAGTTTTGAGTTATGAAAGTGCTATACAAAAAAGTACGAGATACTGAGGTGTTGGGGTCTGACAGTGATGTTACGTCACGGCCTTTATAACTTGACTTTTATGTGCTAAACCTTTAAAAATAGTACTCAAACTATTTATGCGTACTGAAGATTAACTGGGCATTAAATTAAAACAATTTGATTGCACATAAAGTACTGTATTTATTATTTTACAATAATTGTAAATACAGTACTTTATGTGCAATCAAATTGTTTTATTTTGCTTCCACAGTTACTCTTCAGTACACATAAATAGTTTTCCTACAGTCACCTGACATAGTTGGCTTCCTTGCACTGATTATAGTACAGAAAACTGCTAACTGCTGCATTTACTTACTTTATCGCACCGTTTATACTTTGTCGCACGGTTTATACTTTGGTGCACACCAAAGGGGAATGTGAGCTATCATCACACCAAATTTCAGCCCGATCCGACCAGTATTTTTCGTGTTTACTTGTCACAAATATACATACATACATCCAAACTTTCTCATTTATAATATTATAGTAGGAGTAGGATATTAGTTCAACGCTTGGTTTGAACAGAACCTAAAATCTAGTATTTTAAAGAATAATTATAAGTGGGCAAATAGAATATTTACTATTTGAATTTGGGTTGGCGTTTATATTACAATGGAAAAAAGCGAGAGAGCCTGGATAATTTGATATATTAAATAACACAATACCCCCGCCGCAGCAAACCTGCAGACTTAGCGAATTTCCATCTGCCTGATTGGATTTAAACTAAAATATCTCCTTAAAAATATCACATTTATTCCCTATTTTAACAGAATTAGTTTAATGAGTACTTAGGTTTGCTGCAACAGGGAGGGTAAAAGTTTTTTTTAATGTAACATATTAAAAGGTACTGTGGTTTAGTAAGAAATTAATATATTTTCTAAATTTGATCAAAATATGTTCATAAACAAGCAAACTACAACAGTTGACTTATTCTCCATAAGAATAACATAGGAATTTTAAAATTACAATTTTTTTGAATTTTCTCCGTAACAATTAGGCGCATAATAATGCTTCAATATACTAAATTATTTGTTTTTTTAAGCTCTACAAAATGGTTTAAAAATAAATTGTGAAATTTTGTGTTTTTAGGGTCAAAAATGGGAAAAAACCTTTTTTAAACCCATAAAACCCCCCATAAACCCCCGTTCCCATAGTCCGATCATGCTCGTTCGTGAACTCATTCAAGTTTATCCCGCCTTACACCTTCAAACCAAATTTTATCAAAATCGGACAAAAATTACTCAAGTTATCGTGCGGATGGACACATATATATATATCTCTCTATATATAGATATATAAAAATTTGAACGAATGGTGTTTTTGGCCTCTGGGGACATCAAAATGAAAAAGTAAATCGGTCCCGGGCTTAGGTCTTACCATGAGACCTACGGTAATAGCTACTTCCCTATAGGGAAATTCGCTAAAAGAAAACTGAAACTCGATATAGATGGAAATAGTTCCGATCAAATACTGATTATTTTACTTGGCTCTCTCCTAACAAAACTTAATCCCCCAAGTACTGGGGCAATTTTAGCAAATTTTAATTTTAGTTTTAACAGTGAAATTTATATTTAATCAATCAACATAAACTATGAAAACCATAGTTATGAAAATTATATGCTATTAATGCGATTATAAACAAATTATTTTTACCATCGACTGTAAAATATACTAATGTTGTAAATTGCCTGGTTAAAATTCTTATCACAATAAATTTAAAATTCCACTGAAACTTAGATAATAAAAAGATTAAAAGCCAAAATTGGTTATAAATAAAATGTGAGTTTCCTTGATATTGCTTTTAGAACAGAAATAAACTATGGTCCTCAGGTACTTTTATGATTAACGCAATATTTCTCCATTTAGGCGGACATAAAATGTCACATGTTGCAGACTTTCATTTTAAAGCTTAAAATGAGGAGAAGTTTTATATTCTATTTGACAGTTTTTTCTGTGACTTGTAAACAACTTTGCTTAAGCAAGTTGTGGCTCCCTTTTATTTATATTTCCAAATTTGTTATTTAAGTCAAATTTACAATATTTTAAAAGGATTTTGCCGTAACAAACTATACGTTTTCTGATAGGAAATTGATTGCAGAATCTAAAATTGCCATTGACAATATCATTATGTTGACTAAAAGTTGAGAAAAATTAGAGTGTATTAACTGCAATGTCACAAGATTTGGAAAAATAAATGGCTGTTCTGTTGCTGGAAGTAGCACTGAGACATTACTATCCAAAATATGTATTTTTATTGCAATTTGGGTTTATTATAATGCCCTAAAATCATTGACACTGGCTACCAAACCTGTATATATGTTTTTCTTTAATGTTTAATATGTTTTAGATGATTTTCAAAATAAATTATAATATAACCTGACAGTTGTACTGAATCTTAGGCCCCTCGCCCACTATACGATTTCGGTCGTACGACACTGTGTCAGAACGACAACATTTCAACAGTGAGCCATTGGATCTTATGAGAGCTCGCCCACTGTACGATAATCTCATGACTACGATAAACTGTCGTGAAGCAGTCGTCCACTGCCACTGTGATACTCGACTGTCGTACGACTGTCTAACTCGCAGTGGCGTGTATGATCAAATGGGCGCTCGCCCACTATACAATTTTTATCGACTTTCGCTAATTTAAGTTTTGTCATTTAAAATGGGGTTTTCGTCTTTTGAAATAGTTTTTGCATAATTTTGATCATGCATATATTTTTACAATTAATTACTTGTTTATTATAATGTTTGATGTATCGCTTAATTTTTGTCTTTTTCAGCCAACATTTTACGTGATTTTGATCTTGTCTGTATTCCTGACAGTTCGTTCATATTTTTTCTTCATACTATTTTAATGCACTGCATTACTTATAAGTAAACATTTAAAAAAAATATAAAACAATGCGACTTTTATCATTCCGTAATTTTTGTATAACAATTGTTATTAATTATGTTGTGTTAAATAGTTTGTCTAAAATACCTAAGTATTACTTTTTGCAGATTATATGTTTAAACAAATAGTATTAATATTTAAAAACAATACAAAACATGTTCGAACATACACACCTTTGACTAAAACCTACGAAAGTAATATAACAAACATCAGTTAACTTAAAAACTTGTTAAATGGCACGGACTCATATAATTTTAAAATGTCTTTAAATAGGAACATTAACTTAACATTAACCTACATTAACTTAAGAAATAATCTAAACATAAAAAAATTATTACTTTTTTAATGATGTAGCCCCACACTGACCACTTCCAACAAAATGTATCAAATATATAATGTAATCTTACTAACCTCTACGTAATAGCTATCTTTAGAAGTGATGCAGTTCCTCAGGTTAGTATTTTGGTAAGCAATTGTAGCTTTTATTTTCTGGTGTAATTCATCAAAGTACGCAGCAGACATTCTGAAGTAGTTGAAAAACTTGTTATCATCACGCCGAAGGTCATCAAAAAGAGTTTAAAATGATCCTGTGTGTTCCCTACTTTAATTAATAGGGTGAATCCAATACTTCCGCATAATCCTACGACGCTTAATTCTACGCCATAGCAGCCACATAGCAACAACACGTAACGGATCCATTGTTTGACAAAAAAACATTGTTAAGATATTGCGCAACACACTCACTCCGCCATGGCTACCGAGCAACTGGTCATTTATCCGATAAAGTGTCGTATAGTGGGCGAGGACCACACATACGATAAGAATATCGTACGACACAGTGTCGTACGACCGAAATCGTATAGTGGGTGAGAGGCCTTAAGGCTTTGTCAATAATACATCTGTATTTTAAGAGCAAATAAAAAGATTTAGTATTATTATTAATTATTCACTTACCTCTCCATTTGTAGCAGAATGGAGCAAGAAGTTTGAGGATGAATTTAAATGCTGCTTCTTTGCCTTTTCAGCCTAAAAATTAACATATTTTTAGTATAAAGTAGCCATAGAAATAATTGACATTAGGATCAAGCATTTACAAAGTTTCAGCACTCGGGTTCCTGTTGTGGTGAAGAGAGATTGTTACTTTTGACAGAGAATACCATGGGTTCTCTGATTGGAATTTTCTAAATTCCAATGTTGTAGAACAGTATTTTTGGCAGCCAATATTGAGCTGTATTATTGAGTAGCTGTCTTAAAATTAAAAATATTATTATATTAAAATATTAAAGAATGCAATTTTAACAAGTTTTGTAAAATTTCAAATTGGTCCAATCTGAATCTCTCAGACTGAGCCACGTACTATAATATACCATAGTATGCATTACTGAATACTAGTATTGAATACTATCTTTTAGCAGTTTTATAAGATTATGAGTTGCATTCAAGTTATGGATGACCCAGAACTTAAAGCTGAGCATTGAGAACTCCAGCTATTTAATTTGTTTTACCTTAGAAGATTATAACACATGAATAATGAAAACAAAATCTACCAAGCATCATCAACTTTGTCCATTAGTTTTTTTTTATTTTTTTTTTTTTTATTATTTATTATTGTTTTTTTTTAGATTGGCTTTAAATGATTGGCTTTAAATTATAGGCTTTAATTTGAGCTGTTGATTGTTAGAATCAGTTAAGCTTAAGATACTGTATTACTCAATCAAAAATCATAAATTTAATTAATTCTCAGATATTATATTTATTTAACGCTGCGGAGCAGCATGGGTACTATAGTATTTCTTAAGTTTGAAAAATACTAACCTCTTTTTTTGCCAGGCCAGCACTGACGAGCTGACCAGGGCCAAGAGGCGAGATGATTCGAGAGTTGGCAGCACTGCTTGGCTGGCCGAGGAATACACTTGAGTCAAAATTCTGCAATTGAACCAAACAGTTTGCAACACACTTCAAACAAAGTTAATAATACTTTTTCCATATACTATGGTATAGAGTGGGACCACAAAAATTAGCAATCACATAATATGTGGATATAATATACAGACTGATCAATTAAAGAGAAATCTTTAAGATGAATTGAAATACACAAGTTAATGATTAAAACCTAATAATGATTGCTCTTTTGTTACTAAGAAGCACTTTTTATTGGAAAACCTAAAAATATCGTATTGTTTATTTATCTCTTCTTAGTAACCCAATTAAATAAAGTTATTTAAAACATCTGTCAGCTGATAGATCTGTCAGCCCACTACAGCTCAATGTAATTTGTTGTGCTCATCGATCTCTATTATTACAACTGGATCGCGCACTGTACTGCTCAGAGATACACACGTATCGGTCCGCCGCTTCCTCCACCACGTAGTGTTGTTACTGTCTCTCTCTTACTCATTACGTCTTATGGCGATTCCGCGTTTGCGCTCACAAAATACGCTATATCTCTGTTCATAGTGGCTCGATTGTCAATTTGTTTACACAGTTAGTTGTAATCTGCATGAAATTGCGGAGATTATGGTATATGTTTTATATTAAAATAACTCTTTTTTAGGTTATATTAATTCTTAAATCTACTAAATACGGTTTGTTATTGCCACTTTTTAAATTAATTATAAAACTGTTATCAATGCTAATGATTAATTAATTTAATTTAGCATACACACTCATGTTTTTAAAGTGTAATCTTATGGTTTTTATGCATTTAACGTGTAGGAGAGGACCCATGCTGATCCGCAGCTTTAAAATAAATATATTATCCAAGAAAATCAAATTTATGATTTTTGATTGAGTAATACAGTATCTTGAGCTTAACTGATTCAAACGATCAATAAATCAAATTAAAGCCTATACGTTACTGATTATTTTGAGTCAAAAACATATAAAAATCATGAACAATACTGGAGCTATTGATTTTTAATCATAGAAATGTAGCGTGTCACCGTCCCTAAATCAAGTGTCATATTTAGTTGTTTTTTGCTTTTGTATTTAGGTGGCAATAACAAACCGTATTTAGTAGATTTAAGAATTAATATAATCTAAAAAAAAGAGTTATTTTAATTTAAACATATACCATAATCTCCGCAATTTCATGCAGATTACAACTGTGTAAACAAATCGACAATCAAGCCACTATGAACAGAGATATAGCGTATTTTGTGAGCGCAAACGCGGAAACGCCATAAGACGTAATGAGTAAGAGAGAGACAGTAACAACACTACGTGGTGGGGGAAGCGGCGAGCGGTCGGACCGAAAACATAGCACACAGCGCGCGATCCAGCTGTAGTAATAATAGAGATCAATGGTTGTGCTTAGGTCATGCATGTCAATTGAGCTTATGGCGTGATTGCTGCATACATTAATTGATGATTGCATAAATCCAATGATATGTTATGCCAACTAAAACTGATACATGTAGGCCTACATTGAGCAATTTTATAATTAGTTAAGAAATTTGAAACACTTAAAAATTTTTATTTATTAACTGGGCAAAATATGATGAAAACTAATGACTAAACAAACTAAATACGTTTAAACATAGACAAAAATAATTAAATATAGACTGTCAGCCGTGCTGCGGTTACGATAGGTTCTGGAGCATACCGCTAGAAACGCCGTGTATTTACATAGCGTGTATGCCGTAACTACATGGTGCTTCCAGCGGTGTGTGCCAGAACCTATGGTAACCGCAGCACAGCTGACAGTCTATATTTAATTATTTTTGTCTATGGTTTAAACTAAATGGTGTAGCCTAAACTAATCACATTTTACAAACACTTACAAACATAATACCCCAATGATACAAATACATGTAACATTAGTTGTAATGCACAATGCTGTTTTCTCAAGATACTTTTTAAATTACTATTTTTGGTTTGAAAGATATTTTTTTAATGAAGGGAAGAAATTCATGAAACTAATGCAATGGTTAATGCAAGGTGTACTAATCTCTAAAACAACAGCCATCAAGCATGAATATATTAAGTTTTACATTCAATACAAACTAATGGACTAAAATAAAGTGATTTAGTCCAAAGAGGAAGTGAATAACTAATTAACTACCTATAGTAATTTATCAAAATGTTACTATCTCAATAACAGCCAAAAAACAAACTGCAGAACAATTCAAATAAGCAAAATACAGTAATCAGGCTACATTCAGGCTACCTTATTAATCACTAATATACCTGACAACTTCCACAATTTTCTAACCAAATTAGTTGAGAGGCCTGCCACAAAAATATTATTTTATAGTAACTGTTAATTGCAACAAGAGTAAACAATTAATTTTACCAATTAAAATTTAAAAAATTACCAAAATTATTAATAAAATAAAATTGTGAGATAACAATATTTTAATCTGTTATACTACTATTACTTTGTATAAATAAAGTTTTAACTATAAAAAGTGCATTTAGGTTAATTATCTACTACTGTATGTTTAAAAAAGATGAATCAATCATATTAATTGTATGTTCACGGAACACTCAGGCGTGCTTTAAAATCAAAACTAGATCTATATTCTCAGCTAATTTATAGCTAAACCGACCAACCTATAAAATTAAAAAAAAATAATGATAAAATTTGGTTTATTGGCTCTAACTTTCTCACAGACAAAACTAACCTGACCAAAAAATAAAAAAAGTAGCAGGCGACTAACTTTTTAGTGTCGCTCATGTAATCTTAACCCAACCTCTCGTTTAGTTTAATTGTTTGTATAAATTTGTGAACTAAATATTATATACTTTTGTTTATACCATAGGCTTGTCCATAATATGTTTTTCATTATTCCAAAATATTAAAATTTGGTATGCATTACAAGTGATGCTTCTGGTGGTATTAATGAGCCGCAGCGAATTAAATTTTGTGACAGTAGCGCACAGTGTCTCAGTAGAATGCGCCTATGAGTGGTGGGGGAACGGCTTCATCTCCGGTAATGTATTGGGCATAGGGATTGCCAGTCTATATTATTCTTTGGTCACTGATACCACCAGACATGGTGTGGTGCAATAATTACTTAAGATATTTAAGATAGAATGATATGATAGAAACTGTCAAGAGTTATTTATTTAGTGAATAGGTTAAAAACTGTTGTTTCTGAGAAATATATCCGAGTAGCCTATTTTGCATTTTTTCAGTTAGTGTTAAGCTATGGTCTGATTCTCTGGGGTAACGGTAGTAATATAAGTGATGTTTTGTTACTTCAGAAAAAGGCACTTAGAATAGTAACCAAATCAGCTCTCAAAGCCCATTGTAGACCTTTGTTTATAAAAACTAGGATATTGACTGTCATTAACCTGTACATATATGTGTGTTTACTTGATGTTAAACTAAAATTAGGAGACTTGGCTGTTAGAAAAGATTTCCATTCTCATTACACTAGATCTAACTCTCTACTTGAAATTCCGTCCCATAGACTAAGTAAATGTGCCAGTAACCATTCAATCATGAGCTTAAAGTTATTCAATGTATTTCACTCTGAGTCAAGAGCGTTGCCTGAGTTGGTTTTTAAAGATAGGCTATACAACTGGCTTGTTGAACATCCTTTTTATGTGATTAAAGAGTTTTTTTTTAAGTAAAAGTTGTTAAGTTTTGATGTTTTAATAGTTTATCTAGTATATTCTCCACCCAGCCTACAGCCTTCTTTTTACTTTTAAACTTTTAAATTTTTACCTGTTATTGTCTGTGATATTAGCTTATTAATCTAGTCTGACTGGGTTACTGTGTAACCCTATTTTACCATGTGTGAATATGACTATTGCAAGATTGTTTTGCGTAAGGACAATAAAGGATTTCTGAAAGCAGGATTTGTTGAATATCTACATTTTAATTCCTTCCATTTGTCGAATATTCAAATATAGAATCTCTATTCAGCTACGCCCACCGTTTTTCTGCATTCGTTCAAGGCAGCAGAGTAACATATTATCAGAGTAGGATAGGAATTAACCTTACTTCTAGAAAATATTTATGTACTAGCTGTTGTACCCGTGCTTTGCAACGGGAAGAGGATACGAAATAGAAAATTTGTTATCATAGCAATTCTACTATTTTTCGCAGCTTTTTGTTGCGAGTTGGTTCAAATTAGATGTTATCATAAATGCAAAAACTAATATTACTGCACCCTGTTTGTAAACCTTATAACTTTAATGCTATTTAATATCATAGAACCAACTTGAGTAGTTGAAACAGCTGACGAAATTCTTTTATTCCTTTTAAATATAATTACCGTACTCATAAGGTTAACATGGGAAACTCCAGAGCCACTGGGGCGGAGCCCGAAAGGACTTTTAAGATAAGAATGCGTCTATATGTTAATCGGGAATGTGAGCTATTATCACACCAAATTTCAGCCCGATCCGACCAGTATTTTTCACGTTTACTTGTCACAAACATACATACATCCATACATCCAAACTTTGTCATTTATAATATTAGTAGGATATGTTGTTCCAGAGGTGTTTGAAATTAATTAAGAAATTTGTTTAGACTAAATCTAGCTGATGTTTCTGCAATTGCAAGAGGTAATAACAGGTGCATTGCTGCAATCGCTGAAGATAATTATGCATATGCATAATCGTAGAATATGATTATGACATTACGGTGATTCTGGTGTAAACAGTTTGTTTTTTAAGTCAATTATTAGTTTTAGAATCAGAATACATTAAGAGTCATTACTATGGATACAAAAGTATGTTTAATCTATGTTTTTAAATAGTACTATGTAAAAAGGGAACAGTTAATTTACCTGAAGTAGTTGAGTCATCAACAACTTTGCAAGAGTTGCATATCCAGCTTGCGTAATGTGGCCATCGGCATTTGTTTTATTTTTTGGGTCAATACATGTAAAAAATTCAATTTTGTCAAATTCTTGAAGGCTGAGAACAAATAGGTCGCCTGAATTATTTGCAACTTCTTTTGACAAACACTCGTTGAATGAGTTTGCTCTTTCCAGTAGAAACTGGTTCTGATATGCACAAATGCAAATAGGCAGGTGAACCAAAATGAGTCTGATCCCAGGATACTGCTCTCTCAACACATAAATTAGAGCCTTATAGTCTTTCATTATCTCTTTAATTTTTTCTGTAGTTGTAAAAACGTCAGTGTCTCCAACCATCACCAATAATGGCACTTTGGCATCAAAACATGGACTTCGTTCCAGTACCCTTGTTCCTACATTTTTAATTGTCAATTCAGGGCATTCAAAGAAAAGAGAAAACTTTATTTTAGATGAGAGTCCATGCATATAGGCTACTATCTGTTTGTGGTTTAATGTACTAAGACATTGTATTTCAAACACCTGAAATGAAAAAAAAATACAAAGTCTATAACAGATAAACTACTTAAATTGTTTATATCACTAAATGTTATTCATTGAAGACAAAAACACATATTTAATAGCAGAAAACAAGCTAGTTCAAAAATGGATTAAGTTCATGACTACTGAACATAATATGATTGATTACCTATCTATCCTACACTATGCCTATATTTCATGTCATTTGTATTTTCAAAATTAGGTTGAAGGTAATAGTATTCGATCGGACAGGCTAAAATGAACAACCAGATGTTTGATCTCCAAGATGTATGATGAGCAATATGCTCAGGTCGTTTACCTCAGTAGAGTCTCACTATTCCAAACTAACAAGGAAAACGTCTGCAAAGATGTGCAATCACAAAATTTTCCACGATCAAGGGTAAAGTTTAGAGTTTTGATCCTGATCGAAGGAGATGGTGATAATGTCGCTTTGACCGCAGAAGATGATAATGATTTAAGACCTCGGATAATGTTCTCGTTTCTACCGTGACTGCAGAAGACGTTCTTGATTTCATGTTAGCTTTGTATCAACATCTTGAAAAACTATATTAATTTCATAACTTTAGTTTGGAATAGACAGATTTTTGCAATAGCAGGTTCTGGAAAAGCGGGACTCTACTGTATTTAAAACTAATTTACGCCGACTTTAAATATTTACAGATTTAAAATTTGTCATTGTTCATTGTTGAAACTGTTTGAGTTTTAAAGTTTTGATGTGTTATGTATGAGCCAATCAATTAGTTGCGCAAGAAGCAATAGTAGTTCTTTAACTGCACAATATCTGATGACGTCACCATAAGACACAAGGGCTGTTTTCAGGTGATCATCACAATGTTTGCCAAGTTATTACAGTCAGCCATGTTCTCTGAATGGAGAATACCTTTCTGTTTCTGACACCCCCAACAAAATAGTATTATGTACTCTAGAATCAGTCTCAACCAAATTTTGTTTAGGAGATTTTATTTTCCAATTAAGTAAAAGAGCAGGGATTGTCGGCTGAATTTTATTATGAGAGCCAAAGAAAAATTGTGTACTTGACAAAAACTGAGGTAAAAACAAGTATCAAAACAATGAATTGAATTATATTGTTGCAACTGTAAAGAAAGTTAGGCTTGTGTTGTAAGAGATGTCAAGGACATGTTGTTATTGAAATAATAAAACACAGACCTAAGCTAATTCTTGAGGCCCGTTTTGACAGAAGCGTCTGGTGCGTCTATCGCTCAGCGATGATCGCTCCTCCTCAATCGCTGCCCACCGCTTTGCATTGTTTCAGGTTAGTTTATTTTGCCAGAAGCGTCCATCGCCACAGCCGCCAGCGTCTATAACTGAGCCGCTAGCGTAACTGGAGCAGATGGAGACGCAGTCGCTAGCGATTATTAGATAAAGAAACACTTGTTTTGATGTCGACTTATTTATTTATTTTTTTAAGTTGTGTTATACTTAGTTAACAAACTACTAAAAATTCCAAAAAGTGACATTTCAAAATATTAGCCACCCTAAATTTATAATTCTACCCTCATGTTATTCTTATGGGGAATAACATTGAATGTTACCGACTTTGGAATCTTCATCTAAACCGTTTAGAAAGTACCTAGAGACTTGAAATTTGAAGAGGACGGAACCTAAATTATCCAGAAAATTTCCAAAAGTCCCATTTTCAAATTTCAACCCCACCAAAAATCCAAAATGGCGGACATCTAAAACGATAAGACATGTTTTATTTAACGACTATAACTCAAAAACGGTAAGAACTAGCAAAGATTTGAAACGTTTTTAATGTTCAGGAATTAAGTTTTATACAAAATCCTCTTTGGCGTTTTCTGAAAATCACACATCTTCAACCCTGAAAAACGCCTACTTTAAAAAAGTGGTAATATTTTTTTTTATATTTAATTGTTTTCACTTCATTTTCCTGCCTAAGTATTTTTTTCAAATATCTTTAATGCTTTGTATTCTCCTTAGTTTACTTTAAATCTTAGTCATTACATGTTTTATTGTAAATTTACTCCTTGACCCCCAAAGTTCAAGTCAAAATAAGTCAAAATTTAAAATATTTTACCACTTTTACAATGTTACAACAGAGTCATTACCTATTCTATGGGCACAACGGAAAGAAACTACCGTTTACTGTATTAGAGCTAACACTAATGTATCAATATGAAAGGGACTATATAAAAATACCCCTCCGAAATCGCTTTCCTCCCTTTTATTGATCATATAGCCACCACAAGTGCATCTGTCTTTAAATCACGTTTACCCACTTAGCTGGATTCGCTGGAGATCTGCAATTTGGTACAATTGTAAGTCTTCCACCCTTTACTAAAAATTACATTTTACAATAATAACCCGCCCCAGAAATATCGAATTCCCCCCCCCCCCCCATGTTATTCTTATAGTAAATATCCTCAAAAGTTGCCGACTTTGGTGTTGTAAATATGCGAATCTAAACTGTTTAGAAACAAGCTAGAGACCATACAATAGTGTACGTCATCTTAAATCAGCCATAAAATTTACAAAAGTCCCATTTATAGCTTTTAAACCCCCCCCAAATCCAACATGCCAGACATCTGAAAACGACATAACACGTTTTTTTAACCAAGTAAAGAGGGAACAAAGATTTGAAGGAATATTTATGGTCAAGAATAACACTTTTCATCAAATCTGTTTGGGTGTTCCGAAAAAATTTTTTTAAACCGTTTTAAAAAACGTAACTCAGCAAACAAATACCTTACTATTTACTTTTTACAGCTCATTTCAGAGACAGCACTTCTTTCGCCACCAAAGTTAACCTCTCACTGATTCAATAATCGCAAGGAACAGACGCTTCTGGCAAAATAGCCCCGAGCGATAGTCTCACCAGACGATTCTGGCAAAACGGACCTCTAAGATCAAGTTCCAAAATAAATTAAGATTACAAAATTAATAAAAAGGAAAGGAGCAAGAAAAAAAAGGAATTTAATTGTTATGTTATGTGGGATTTGTTAAAAAGGCTGAATCATCTACATTTTCTTATCCACATTATGGTTTAAGTACAAGCAATTGGTTAAACCATCATGTCACTCAGTCTACAAATGTTGTTTGAATTCATTGTTAAGCTCCTGGAGCTGTAGATATTATTGTAAGAATAAATTACCTACGTCAAATAGGCCTAGCTCAATACTGGATGGTGAATTTCAGTCAGAACATGTTTTGGTTTTGACACGTTGTGTCATCATCAGATGAGTACTTTTACTAGTGGAGTGTTGTATTCCACCAGATGGGTTTGTGATTTTTCAATAAATTGTTAATTTATTGAAATTTAAACACAAAAACGACACGACACATAAACATTTAAAACATGTATAACTTAACGAGACATTGCAGGCCTGCTTGGACAAACATACAGTCGCGCCGCGGGTCGGGGACAGATTCAGGAGAAGCGGGTCTACTGACACATCACTATTATCTACCATGTAGAGCTAGGCTTTACATTCAATTAGTATTCCTAAACAAATTATAAAGACAACCTTCACCCTACAGTTAATACAGTGCTGACATTATATAGCAGTTAAATTAAATTAAATTTTAAAGCTAAAAATACAACCTTCACACTAAAACAAGGTTACAGAAAACCAAACACACAAGAGACTATCTTACATAGCAAGCACAGTAAAATTAAGAGATTCCGTCCAATACCTGGGGATCTACAGTGCTAGGAGGGGGTTCAATTGTAGCGGGGGGTTCTGGTGTGACAGGTTTTGGTTTCGATTTTTGAAATCTTGGAGGAACTTCCTTCTCCTTTTGCTTGTGAGTCACCTCCACCTGAAATAAGTTAAAACTAGTAATGTGTCAAAACCGAAATCTCAAGAGATTCAATCGGCAAGATTGGTTATTTGGAAATTTTATCATCAGTCATAATATAGACTAAGCAACACAAGTGGGCTTCTAATCCCATTGTAAATTTTGAAGCTTGTTTTTCATGTCTAGTTCATGTACGTCGATACGGATCGTTAGTGTAGACAGCATTTTGTTTCTATTATTTTATGGTTATTTTTAGGGATGGGTCGATTCCATCTTCGATTCTCGATTCCACCGGTTCTTGGCTTAGAATCGGAACCGGGAATCGATTGCCTAAAGTCGATTCCGATTCCTTCGATTCCAGGTGGTAATTTTTCCACCGACTAGTACATTAGCTTATTCATTTATTCATTTATTCATGTAAATTGTCACAAATTACACCATATACAGAGGAGTTTCCTCAATGGTAGATGACATGTCAAAAATATGATACAAAAATGTTAAAAACTAAATTAATGTAACTTAAACATAATGAGAAAACAAACTCTCCACATGAACCATTTTACAAACCACTATTACTATATAAAATGAAATCCTCTACTGAATAAAACATATGGCTCTTTAGATAGTTAACAAGTTTTCTTTTAAATGCTTTGGCAGAAGATTCATTGCGAATATGAGAAGGTAGTTTATTAAATAATCGGCTGCCTGTATAGAATGGTGTCTTTTCAAAAGCTGCTGTTCGATGTATCGGCAAAGAAAGATTACAATTACGTGTAGGATAGTTATGTGTAGATTTTAAAAGAGTGAATTTGTGAAAATTTTCTTTAACAAATAGAAGGGTATGTAGAATGAAAATGCAAGGTAAAGGCAGAATATCTAGTTTCCTGAAAATTGGTTTGGATGATGCAGTATAGGGGGAATTTGTCATAGCACGGACAATGCTTTTCTGAATCTTAAATATTGCTGGAGAAGACTGTGAGTTGCCCCAAAATATCACTCCATATGTTAAGTTTGAATAGATATATGCATAGTAAACCATTTTCAAAATGTTTATCTCCAGGATTTTTATATATATAAATATATGGATAATTATATGGATAATATATGGATAGTGCTTATATGGATTATTGTGTAATAAAGTTTATAGTAAGTTTGTATGTATTTATTCCCTGATTCATCCTCTTTAACTGTAAGAAAATGTTGATTAAGAAACATTTCACATTCAACACCTCATTCCCCACTGTCATACTTGTCGTCAATAAGCGGACGAAAGAATGAGGCGAGACACGACGGTCGATGACACGACACGGGTGCGGCAGCTCAAATGAGTCGAATCCGAGTCTTGAATCCTAAGAAAAGATTTGGATTCGAGATTCGATTAACGAGATTCAAGAATTGCTGACAGAATACGCCGACCCTCCGCCACCCGCCACCTCTATCCATCTATAATAATTTGCAGCAGCACAGCGACAGCAGTAGCAGTGTCAATCTACGCATAGCTGGAACAAAGCCAAACTCTGTCTCAAAACTTAAGGTCATGGCTTGAATTACGCGTCTTAGTTTAATATTAATTGTATTTCAATAGGGACAGGCCGATAACAGAATTTCTCGATTCGATACCAGTTCTGTACAGTTCTGTACCAGACGTCCGTGGGAGATGTCCAAGATTTTGCCGCTATCGCGCATGACGACCATGACGTTTCTGTGACAGCGTGAGGCGATGATAATGTCTAAACGTCCACGAGAGATGTCCATGATTTTGCCGTGATCGCACATGACGACGATGACGTTTCTGTGACCGCGGGAGGCAATGATTATGTCTAAACGGCCACGGAAGATTTCCATGATTTTGCCGCGATCACGCATGACAACGATGAAATTTCCTTTGACCCCGGGAGGCGATGGTGTCTTCTTAACGTCCGCGAGAGATCTTCATGATTTTGCTGTGATCGCACATGATGAGGATGACGTTTCCGTGACCGCATAACGTCCGCGGGAGATGATATAGACATAGACATAGACATATTTAATTTTCACATAACATTCTATACATGTGTTGTTACATACAGAATAGGTGCATTGTCAGAGTTAAAATTATCAGAATATAAAAAATAAAATAGTAATTAGGAAGATAATGTAAATTAACAAAATTGAATGATAAAACTATTCTAAACTAAAGGGGCATTGTGAAAATCTGCAATTAAATAAAAGGCTTTGTCAATTAAGTGTTCACCTATTTTATCTTTAAAATAATTTTCATTTAACAATTAATTTATAGTTTGCAGGCAGCACATGATATTCATGATTTTGCCACCATCGCACATGACGACGATGACGTTTCTGTGACAGCGTGAGGCAATGATAATGTCTAAACGTCCGCGCGAGATATCAATGATTTTGCCGCCATTGCACGTGACGATGATGACATTTCCGTGACCATGGGAGTGTATAAGGATGTTTACACGGACGCGGGAGATAACACAATTTTTACTGTGACAACAATAATGTCTACAAGACCGCAGGAGATGTTCATGATTTTGTCGCTACCGCGCATGACGACGATGACGTTTCTGTGACCGCAAGGCGATGATAATGTCTAAACATCCTCAGGAGATTTCCATGATTTTGCCGCGATCGCTTAAGACGACGATGTCGTTTCCATGACTGTGGGAATGTATAAGGATGTTTACACGGCCGTGGGAGATGATCATGATTTTGCCGCTACCGCCAAAGACTATGATGACGTTTCCGTGACCGCTGGAGTGGATGATGATGTCTACACGGCCGCGGGAGATAATCAGAATTTGGCCTCGATCATGGAAGACCTCACCTGTAACGTGCCTATTTTGAGGGGGGTCAAACTAGCCTACTCCTAGGTCTAGCCTATCCCTAGGCATAGCCTACCAGCCCTAACTAAGGTTATAGGTTAGAAGGCTAACCTTAGTTATAACATCACTAGTAACTATAGGCATGATACACTGTTGTGTTTGGTAATAAATAAGTGTAGAACGAGAGTTATTAATACTGTATGAGCGTGGCATAAACCTTATACAGTGTTTTATAGCTTATTGACTCACCAGCGATGTGTTTCGCAAGCTAGGGCTCAACCCGGCTTGGTACTTTGAAGAAACTTTCTACACTTAGTAAACCCGCAGATCATGGCCTTAAGCCAATAATCTGTCTCAAAGACGTGAGGAAATGCGGAGTGAATAATATAAACCGACAACTGGAAGTTAAAACTCATTGTGGTGTGAAACAAACACAACATAACCTACAGTCAAAAACAACAAAAAGCTCGAGCGACTGACGATTTAGCGGCTGCAGACGACGGCGGCCGGCTAGCTTTTTTTCGGGTTAGCAAACAGCAAGCAAACGTTCCGGATCAGCTGAGCCCCCTACTTTGCTAGAGAGGGGAGCGAGAGGGATGAACCGAGGAGCCCTCAGACGGCAAGCAGGAAAGTTAGTTCCTCACCAGCTACGATAGTGATCACGCAAGAGCTCTTACCGTGCTAGAGTACCGAGTTCGTAATAGTTCATTGTGTGACGCATAGCGGCACGCTATATTTTTGATAGTGTGTGCAGTTCGCGAAGCCGGGCTGCATGTTCATCTCGTTGCCTGCCGCGACTGCATCAATGCTCTATCCCCACCTTTCCTAGTCTTGTCCTCTTTCTTCGAAAACCGGCATCTGGACAGAGAACCTCTCGGAAAAGTTCCACGACTTGTCTTCGATGTTTGGGATAAGTTATAACATTTAATATGTAGAAATTAAGTAGGGAAAATGTCTGGCTAAGTCAGGTAACTAGCGGGGAGCCCTTCTGGCTCACCCGACTATGGAAATGTAGGAATTGACAACTTAGCCGGTTGGTGGCACTCTGCCACCAACCGTTCGAAACATGAATACTAATCCACATGTTCCCAGAATGTAACTTAATAGTTTAAATCAATTCATACTTATTTCTCATTCAGTATTCAATTACATATCACTCATTTGCTCATCAATAATTAGTAAGTAATTACCCAAGTTCAGTTCATAGTGGAAGGATAGGTTTATATTTAAATAGTTAGTTCCATTAGTTCAAATCAAAGCTGGCTAGGCAAGTGTTCTGATCTGGGTAAAAGGTCTCCGTCCCTCTGGTCCCCAGCAATCTTCCTAATTGTATTGGTAGCAGATTCAGCACGCTGAAATTAAGTTTGGTCCAGACACACCTTTTCCTAACCTATTAGCATTACCCTGTTTATTCCCTCCTGATTACCCGAATTTCCCTCCTCCATCCCATACCTTAACCCCGCGCCCCCTCAGCAAACGGCCCCCCGCTACATATGGTAGCAGGCTTTGGCCTAGATCAGGGTACTTAACCTAGGCAATTTCAGTTTCATTTTTAGGTAAAAGAAGTTAAGTGTACATTCTGGGGATATTTTTTTTTCTCCTGGCAAAAAGTAAAGTGCATTTTTCCCTGACTTAACCGACACGGATAGGTAGGCTAGTGGTTAAGCTGTTTTTGGTTAGTAAATTGGTAGGGAAGTGTAAATTGGTTAGGCTAGGTTGACCAACCAGGATTAGTGTGACATAGGTAGGGCTGTGTGTGTTTTGTCTGTTTTTATGTTACAGGAGATCTTACCACCTTTCGAGCCTAGGCAGTGGACAGTGGATTTAGTGAACAAGTGTTGTGAATTTCGATTTTAAAGTTAAGCCTAGCAAGAGGCATTAGCTGGTCTGTAATATTTAGTGGGTGTAAGGTACAAGGTAGGGTATTAAAATGACCTACAGCCCAATTTTGTTAAATTAAAGTGGTACTTTGCCCAACACAAGGTGTTTTTGTTTGCTTAATGACCGGATTATTTTAAATTAAAATCAGCACCTTGTGAACCAGTGTAGAGTCAGTGTTATATGTGTTCTATGCCCTATTAAATAAATCATTTTTCATGCAATAGCCTATTTGTCACCAATTTGTTCTAGTGTAATTTACTGTTGTTATTTGTCACCTGTGCCTTATTTATTCTTGTCAAATGTATTGTGTCA